TTGTAACTATTTGTAACTTCCACTGGTACTTCTTCAGTGTAGAAAACTGTTTCGGCGAATTTGACTTGTATTTTGCACATTAAAAAATCTACAAAATGCCCCAGCTTTTTCAGAGTGGTAACCTCGAAGCAATTTTTTTCCTTATGAAAATTTTCTCCGCTTCCGGTTTCTTTCGCTAAATGCCAAATATTTTTTATCTATGTTTTCATTGGTTAAAAACTCCCAGGTTAAAAACATTTTTAGTTCAATTTGATTTACATCTTTACTGGTTAATCTCTTGAAGTTTACTGACAAATCAAATGTGGTTTTCTCTGCTGTGAAAGATACGGAAAGGTGGTTCCTTTTATTCCTACTGAATAATGGTTTAATTTCTGAAAATTTCAATAGCGAAAAACCACTTTTTACGGAAATTTCAATTTGCCCTGAAAGGTAATTACTATTCTTTGTTGCCAAGAGCAAAGCGCTAATTGAGTTCAAAAATTTTGCTAACGAAATTACTGGACCTCCCGTTGTTTTCACATCGATAATGTACGTTACCTAATCAAGTTCGAAACTCTTGCTCCCCCCTTTCTAACTTGTGCCATTCCTGTTGGGTTCTCAAAAACCTACAAAATACCAATACCTACGATTTTTATTTGTGCATTCAATGTCCCAATGGTTAATTCACCATTGTTTATAACTGAGCCGATAATGTTTTTATCAGTTGGAGAAGATCACACCACTGGATATACATATTTGACACCTCTTTTGTTCACCTCATGAAAGCTTTTGCTAATTTTACTTTGAAACTATTTGAACACTCTGATGCTAACATGCTAACCACTTTCTCCAGAGGTATAGTAATATCCTCGTTTCCAAAGCCTGGAAATTTAACCGTTTTTGTGTCCCATTTTTTCTCAAGCTTGCAATAAGCTTGGAATTATCATGCAGGTATGTTGCTTAACCCCACCAGCTGCTTTTCTTAGGAAGAAGCTTGGAATATTCATGCAGCTATGTTGCATAATCCCACCAGCTGCTTTTATTAAGTGCCGTGACTGAATATGACGCCAAATACATGCAATACTTCTGCCTGACTTCTGATGCTACTGGTTTATACATTAAGTCCCAGCTTTTAAGCGTATTTGGTTTCCGTTTTGTTTGAGGCAATCGCTATTTTTGCTCAAGGATTTTGTTTCAGAGTCAAAAAATTTGTTCAAAATCGTGTGCGATTGAAATGTCGCCAGATAGTTCTCCTAAGCTCACTCGGTTTTCTAGTATTGTACAGTTTATTACCTTTCGTTCCATTTAGTAACTCATAATTAACATCACTAACAGGTTTAGCTGCTTTAGATTCTGATCCGGTTTTTGCTTTTCTCTTAACGGTATCTTCGGGCCTGTTCTGCTTCCTACGCTTCGTCTTGGTTTGTCGGTGGGTCTATTTGGTTGAGTCTCTGTAACTTCTGATGAGGCAATCATTTCTTTGATGTCCAATTCTTCCGTGGGAGCACTGAACTTTTTTTTCTTTTCGGTTTTAACTGCTTCTCCTTCCGGCGTAGACCGACTAGGAGATTCTATTTTCGAGTTAGTGAACTCCACAACTACAAAAACGTTTTATTATTCATCCGTTTCTTTGGTTGCATTTAGTTTCTTTCATCCCGCTTCCTGAGAGTTTACTTTTGTTCGTTCATGAAAAGCCTTTAACTTATCATGCTGAACTATTTGCTGTTTCTTAGATCTTTGGTCTTCAATCGCAAAATTTAGATCACTTACAGTCTTTATGATTATCAGTGGTCCGTTATAGAACGACTTAAATTTCTTTGTCTGTCCCTCGCAAAAGGTTTGGTTAAAAAGTTGTACTTTGTCGTTCACGTTATACTTAGGTCAGTTTTGTTTTTCCTCGTAGAAAATTTTTTCCTGTTTTTTTTCGACGTTCATTGTATTACGCAACAGTTCGTGGCTTGTTTGGAGTTCCTTCCTCAGGTCTCTGACGTAATCGTTGGCGTTGCAAACACTTTAGTTTGTGATGTTTTGTACATGCAATCTATCGGCACGATGAAGTAATACGGATTGTATTTTGTCACTGCATGAATTGAAGATATGTAAGCCATCATAACTGTTTAAAGAAGATTGGCCTAAACATTGTGGTTTTTTGGGCACATATTTAGACAAGACTGCTTCGATTGCTCTGTTGTATTTTTCAATCAGTTTGTGCCCCTGCAGATTAGCTGGGCATTCAAAGCTTGAAATTCAATTGTCGACCAATGCCTTAGCTACTGTCTTTGCTTCTTTGTTTTGAAGTGGTAACGCTTCATACCAATTTGAGAATTGATTTCCGATTACAAGAATATACTTGAATTCTTCTGATTCCAGTAGTGGTCCCATGATAGCGATCGCTACATGCCAAAACGGATAGCTTGGTTTCAATATCTGCAGTGAATTTTCTTTTTTCTGGCTAGGTTTCTTCTTTGTTGTGCGCATTTCACAGCTATTAACCCAATCTTCAATATCCCGACTCATTCCAGTCCAGTAAAACTATTCTTGAGTATACTGAAAAGTCTTTAAGCAAACAAAATGAACACAATATTTATGCAGCGAAATGAGCATTTCCTACATGAACACTGGAGTCAAAACAATTCTTTGGACTACGATGTACTGTTCTTTGATCAGTTTCTGTCTTTTTAGTATGTCTTTTTCAAAAAACAATTTTTTGAAATCTGTCCAAAATTTCCATAAAGTTTTTGAGCAGCCACTCGTTTGCCTTTTCTCTGGCCTCTCCTTGTTTTGCACACAGCTTTTTGTCGTTCTTATTTCACTAGATTTCAGTTGAACCGTTTTTAATTCCAAATTGGAAGATTTTAGAGCTTCTTCTCAGATATTTTTCGAATTATCTGTTGTTTTTTGTGATTGATTAACCATCTCCTCAGTGGTAGTTGGAACCCTTGATAAACAGTCTGCATGTGGAATTTTCTTGCCCGCCTCGTGCTTAATTTCGAATGGGAACTGCCCTAGTTTTTCCAACCATCTAGCTATCATACTGTCTGGCTCTTTGAAGCTTTAGAGCAGCATTAAGGCTCTGTGATCAGTAACTATTAAAAAAATTTGTCACAACAGTTAGTCCGGAAATAATGCGTGAAGTGTACGATTGCGTATAGTTCCCTTTTGGTTGAAAAGTAATTGTGCTGTCCATTATTCAGCGTTTTGCTGGTGTACGCAAAAACTCGATTTCTACCTTGCTGCTTTTGTGCCAATATGGCTGCTATCCCAGTTAATGAAGCATCCATTTTTAGGCTATGCATACCTTCATCATTTGAATATCCCAGTATTGGTGCTTTCTGCAGTTTCTTTTCAATGCTTCCTTTCAATGCTCTTATTAAGAAGTTTGTAGAGTGGTTCAGCAGTCCTTCCAAACCCTTCAATAAACTTTCCGTAGATTCAAATGAGTCCTAATACCGCCCGCAGTTGTTGATATTGTGAGGATCTTTCATGTATTTCAGTGAGTTTATCTTTTCCGGATCAACTTCTACGCCGTTGTTCGACAAAATATGTCCAAGAAAATGAATTTTAGTTTAAAAGAACCTGCATTTTGTTCTGTTTAATTTTAAATCAGCTTTATTCAGTCGACACAGAATAACGTCCAAACTCTCTAGTTGTTCTTGAAATGTTCTACCAAAGGTTATGATGTCGTCTAGGTAGACCAAAGCAATTTCGTATGATAACCCACTTTGTATCAACTCCATTAAATTTTGAAATGCTCCTGGCGCGGAGAGCCATTGGTAGACTTTTGCTTTTAAAGAGACCCATTGGCGTTATAAAGGCAGTAAGATGTTGGGAGTCTTCTCTTAGCGCCATTTAAAAATAACCAGAAATTAAGTCAATGTGGGAAAAGATCATGTTATCATCCAATGAGTCAACGACATCACTTACCTTTGGTAGGGACCAGCTTACTCTTTTGATCTGACCGTTCAGTCCTCTGTAATCAACTACTAACCTGTGGGTTCCCTCTTTTTTCTCAACAAGTATGGTTGGTATTGCCCAATTCGAGTGAGTTGGTTCAACTAGTAGTTCGCTTTTTCTAAATCCTCCCAGATCTTTTTCATGGCATTCCACTTTTCATAATTCATACTTCCTATGCCGAAATGGCTTTGCATCAGCGATTAATTTTATTTTATGTCTAATTTTATCCAAAAAACTTGAGTCCGTTGAGCTGCATGAAAAAGAACTGGTTATGTTTCTCAAACATTATCTGCAAACTTGTCTTTTCCTCAGATGCCAATTGTGCACTGCCCCGAGTAGCGTGTTGCCTAATACAAAGGGCTCCTGATGCTGCGGTCGTTCCTTGCTCTAAAGAAGCCGTTTACTTGAATCTGATGTCTCAAATTGGTATAATGAGCAGTGTTGCTGTCATGGTATATGTTAATAGCTTCATTTCGCATGTTCAGTACATTCAAGCAATTTTCCCTTGGCTTACACTTGTAAGTGAATCAGCTACCAGTAGTCCGGTTTTTCCTTTGAGTTCCTGTATGCCTTCATTTAAACCTTATGGGCTGCTGAGGGCTGTACCATTTTCATCTTTGATGAAGATTTCTACTAGTTTTTCTTGTCTGCTTGGGAATCTTGCATTCTTCTCTGCTATTGCAAACGTTCGGACACCAGTCGTTGTTTCCGCTGAGATAGGTAGTGCTGTCCGATGTTTCGTACTGTACAGCAATTGTTCGCCAATTTCGTCGATCATGAAACCCCAACCAAGAAGGCATGGTAAGCAGTTATCCGCCGTTATTAAAATGTTTTGGGCGATATGTCCGGACTTTGGTTTCATTTGGATTTTGATGTCGACACTGCCAAGTTTTTGAAACATTGAACTGTTAGCCGCTAACACTTTACTATTAAAAACCTTTATGCTTCCCGGCTTTCCAAGCCGCTCATACGTGTCAAAACTAACGAACGAAATGCTACTCCCGATTTCTCGTTCAATAGTAAGCCCACACTGAAACATTTCGATTTGTTATTGGAGCACACCCTGGTCACGTTGGTTCGTTCCGTCCTTTTATTCTTAGGGCATTTTCGCTTAACGTGGATAGGTTTTCCACCAGTAAAACAATTACTACAGTTCTTTGCCCAATGACCCCTTTGCCCACATAGTCAACATATGTCATTGTGGTTTTCCCTTCTCGGATTGCCATTTCTTTCTCGCGTTTTTGGTCCTGAGGTTGGAGTTCTTGCTCCATCTCTTGAAACTTGCTCCCTATATCGGTTTCCATTGCGTCGCATTTCTCCCCAGGGGTTGTTGTCTCGTCGACCATGGGTTTATTTTTATTACCAACCGACATCTTCTGAACTGGTCTGTTCATCGAGTCCGTTAGCATTTCTGTCTGATCCCTCCGTATGGCTGTTATTCGGGGCGTTTGTTCTTTTTCCTCAATTCCAATTACGGCTTCCAGATGAAGTGCGCACTCTAAAGCATTCGCCTTGTTCATTTCCTTGTCTCCAATTGTCTTGCGAAGCCGTAGGATTGAGTCTAACTTGGCTGTTGTGGATTCCTTTGGGAAGCACTAGCAGGTCCCTTATGTCCTGAGATTTGTCAAATGCTGTAAATCACCCAGTAAATCTGTTAACTTTCCACCTGCCTGCTGCGCGCGACGCTCTAGCCGACCGCGGAAGAACACCGGTTTTTCAATGTAATGAATTTGAAAAGCTTTAACGGTCTCATCATAGCTGAAAAGGTTAAGTAGCCTCTGGGAGGGTACGGTAAGTAGCCTCTTGAAGCCTTTGGAAGGGTACGGTAAAAGGCGAAATAATGCAAAAAAAATTCTGTTTTTCGTGCAGTACGTTTCCAGTTTTTAGTTCGGCTAATAGCTCAAAATGTGTTGAGTAGCTTTCAATATCGTTAGGACCAGTGAGTGCCTCCGACAATATCGTTTTGGATACCGAACTTGCCGTTGCCATACATTACTATCATCCTGTTTACTTTCTTATCTAGTTTTCCCTGTGGTTGGAATTTTTCTAGGTCTTACCCGCTGATTTCAGCTTAAAATAATCTTTAATGTTCCTCCAACTACAGTTTATGCCCTTTTTTCAGAGAAATTTGTTATTCACCTCAATTTTCAGAAGCATTAGGACAGACTTTATTGCAGAGCGTGAGAGTATTATTGCGATAGATTAATTTTTTGATTAGGTAAATAAATTTTAGGTGCGACTCTTTGTAATTATTTGTAACTTCCACTGGTACTTTTTCAGTGTAGAAAGCTGTTTCGGCGAATTTGACAAAATTTTCTTTATTAAAATTTTCTCCGCTTCCGGTTTTTTTTGCTAAATGCCAAATATTTTTATCTATGTTTTCATTGGTTAAAAACTCCCAGGTGAAAAACATTTTTAGTTCAATTTGTTTTACATCTTTACTGGTTAATCTCTTGAAGCTGTGAAAGATACGCAAAGGTGGTTCCTTTTATTCCTACTGAATAAGGATTTGATTTCTGAAAACTTCAATAGCAAAAAACCACTTTTTACGGAAATTTCAATTTGCCCTGAAAGGTAATTCCTATTCTTTGTTGCCAAGAGCAAAGAGCTAATTGAGTTCGAAAATTTTGCTAACGAAATTACTGGACCTCCCGTTGTTTTCACATCGATAATGTACGTTACCTAACCAAGTTCGAAACTCTTGTTCCCCCCTTTCTAACTTGTGCCATTCCTGTTGGGTTCTCAAAAACCTACAAACTACCAATAGCTACGATTTTATTTGTGCATTCAATGTGCCAATGGTTAATTCACCATTGTTTAAAACTGAGCCGATAATTTTTTTATCAGTTGGCGAAGACCACTCCACTGGATATACATATTTGACACCTCTTTTGATCACCTCATGAAAGCTTTTGCTAATTTTACTTTGAAAATACTTGAACACTCTGATGCTAACATGCTAACCACATTCTCCAGAGGTATAGTAATATCCTCGTTTCCAAAGCCTAGAAATTTAACCGTTTTTGTGTCCCATTTTTTCTCAAGCTTGCAATAAGCTTGGAATTATCATGCAGGTATGCTTCTTAACCCCACCAGCTGCTTTTCTTAGGAAGAAGCTTGGAATATTCATGCAGCTATGTTGCATAATCCCACCAGCTGCTTTTATTAAGTGCCGTGACTGAATATGACGCCAATTACATGTAATACTTCTGCCTGACTTCTGATGCTACTGGTTTATACATTAAGTCCCAGCTTTTAAGCGTATCGGGTTTCCGTTTTGTTTGAGGCAATCGCTATTTTTGCTCAAGGATTTTGTTTCAGAGTCCAAAAATTTGTTGAAAATTGTGTGCGATTGAAATGTCGCCAGATAGTTCTCCTAAGCTCACTCGGTTTTCTAGTATTGTACAGTTTATTACCTTTCGTTCCATTTAGTAACTCATAATTAACATCACTAACAGGTTTAGCTGCTTTAGATTCTGATCCGGTTTTTGCTTTTCTCTAAACGGTATCTTCGTGCCTGTTCTGCTTCCTACGCTTCGTCTTGGTTTGTCGGTGGGTCTATTTGGTTGAGTCTCTGTAACTTCTGATGTGGCAATCGGTTCTTTGATGTCCAATTCTTCCGTGGGAGCACTGAACTTTTTTTTCTTTTCGGTTTTAACTGCTTCTCCTTCCGGCGTAGACCGACTAGGAGATTCTATTTTCGAGTTAGGGAACTCCACAACTACAAAAACGTTTTATTATTCATCCGTTTCTTTGGTTGCATTTAGTTTCTTTCATCCCGCTTCCTGAGAGTTTACTTTTGTTTGTTCATGAAAATCCTTTAACTTATCATGCTGAACTATTTGCTGTTTCTTAGATCTTTGGTCTTCAATCGCAAAATTTAGATCACTTACAGTCTTTATGATTATCAGTGGTCCGTTATAGAACGACTTAAATTTCTTTGTCTGTCCCTCGCAAAAGGTTTGGTTAAAAAGTTGTACTTTGTCGTTCACGTTATACTTAGGTCAATTTTGTTTTTCCCCGTAGAAAATCTTTTCCTGTTCTTTTTCGACGTTCATTGTATTACGCACCAGTTCGTGGCTTGTTTGGAGTTCCTTCCTCAGGTCTCTGACGTAATCGTTGGCGTTGCAAACACTTTAGTTTGTGATGTTTTGTACATGCAATCTATCGGCACGATGAAGTAATACGGATTGTATTTTGTCACTGCATGAATTGAAGATATGTAAGCCATCATAACTGTTTAAAGAAGATTGGCCTAAACATTGTGTTTTTTTGGGCACATATTTAGACAAGACTGCTTCGATTGCTCTGTTGTATTTTTCAATCAGTTTGTGCCCCTGCAGATTAGCTGGGCATTCAAAGCTTGAAATTTAATTGTCAACCAATGCCTTAGCTACTGTCTTTGCTTCTTTGTTTTGAAGTGGTAACGCTTCGTATCAATTTGAGAATTGATTTCCGATTACAAGAATATACTTGAATTCTTCTGATTCCAATAGCGGTCACATGATAGCGATCGCTACATGCCAAAACGGATAGCTTGGTTTCAATGTCTGCAGTGAATTTTCGTTTTTCTGGCTAGGTTTTTTCTTTGTTGTGGAGCTTTTCACAGCTATTAACCCAATCTTCAATATCCCGACTCATTCCAGGCCAGTAAAACTATTCTTGAGTATACTGAAAAGTCTTTTTGTAACCAAAATGAACACAATATTTATGTAGCGAAATGAGCATTTCCTACATGAACACTGGAGTCACAAAAATTCTTTGGACTACGATGTACTGTTCTTTGATTAGTTTCTGTCTTTTTAGTAAGTCTTTTCCAGAAAACATTTTTTTGAAATCTGTCCAAAATTTCCATAAAGTTTTTGAGGAGCCACTCGTTTGCCTTTTTTCTGGCTTCTCCTTGTTTTGCACACAGCTTTTTGTCGTTCTTATTTCACTAGATTTCAGTTGAACCGTTTTTAATTCCAAATTGGACGATTTTAGGGCTTCTTCTCAGATATTTTTTCGAAATATCTGTTGTTTTTTGTGATTGATTAACCATCTCCTCAGTGGTAGTTGGAACGCTTGATAAACAGTCTGCATGTGGAATTTTCTTGCCGACCTCGCGCTTAATTTCGAATTGGAACTGCCCTAGTTTTTCCAACCAGCTAGCTATCATACTGTCTGGCTCTTTGAAGCTTTAGAGCAACATTAAGGCTCTGTGATCAGTAACTAATAAAAAGATTTGTCACAACAGTTAGTCCGGAAATAATGCGTGAAGTGTACGATTGCGAATAGTTCCCTTTTGGTTGAAAAGTAATTGTGTTGTCCATTATTCAGCGTTTTGCTGGTGTACGCAATAACTCGATTTCTACCTTGCTGCTTTTGTGTCAATATGGCTGCTATCCCAGTTAATGAAGCATCCGTTTTTACGCTATACATACCTTCATCATTTGAATATCCCAGTTTTGGTGCTTGCTGCAGTTTCTTTCAATGCTTCCTTGCAAGCTTCATAAAGAAAGATTTTTTCGCTCTTATTAAGAAGTTTGTAGAGTGGTTCAGCTGTCTTTCCAAACTCTTCAATAAACTTTCGGTAGATTCAAATGAGTCCTAATACCGCCCGCAGTTGTTGATATTGTGAGAATCTTTCATGTATTTCAGTGAGTTTATCTTTTCCGAATCAACTTCTACGCCGTTGTTCGACAAAATATGCCCAAGAAAATGAATTTTTGCTTAAAAGAACTTGCATTTTGTTCTGTTTAATTTTAAATCAGCTTTATTCAGTCGACACAGAATAACGTCCAAACTCTCTAGTTGTTCTTGAAATGTTCTACCAAGGCTTATAATGTCGTCTAGGTAGACCAAAGCAATTTCGTATGATAACCCACTTTGTATCAACTCCATTAAATTTTGAAATGCTCCTGGCCTGGAGAGCCATTGGTAGACTTTTGCTTTTAAAGAGACCCATTGGCGTTATAAAGGCAGTAAGATGTTGGGAGTCTTCTCTTAGCGCCATTTAAAAACAACCAGAAATTAAGTCAATGTGGGAAAAGATCATGTTATCATCCAATGAGTCAACGACATCACTTACCTTTGGTAGGGACCAGCTTACTCTTTTGATCTGACCGTTCAGTCCTCTGTAATCAACTACTAACCTGTGGGTTCCCTCTTTTTTCTCAACAAGTATGGTTGGTATTGCCCAATTCGAGTGAGTTGGTTCAACTAGTAGTTCGCCTTTTCTAAATCCTCCCAGATCTTTTTCATGGTATTCCACTTTTCATAATTCATACTTCCTATGCCGAAATGGCTTTGCATCAGCGATTAATTTTATTTTATGTCTATTTTTATCCAAAAAACTTGAGTCCGTTGAGCTGCATGAAAAAGAATTGGTTATGTTTCTCAAACATTATCTGCAAACTTGTCTTTTCCTTAGATGCCAATTGTGCGTTGCCCCGAGTAGCGTGTTGCCAAATTCAAAGGGCTCCTGATGCTGCGGTCGTTCCTTGCTCTAAAGAGTCCGTTTACTTGAATCTGATGTGTCAAATTGGTATAAGGAGCAGTGTTGCTGTCATGGTATATGTTAATAGCTTCATATCGCATGTTCAGTACATTCAAGCAACTTTTCCCTTGGCTTACACTTGTAAGTGAATCAGCTACCAGTAGTCCGGTTTTTTCTTTGAGTTCCTGTATGCCTTCATTTAAACCTTCTGGGTTGCTGAGGGCTGTACCCTTTTCATCCTTGATGAAGATTTCTACTAGTTTTCTTGTCTGCTTGGGAATCTTGCATTCTTCTCTGCTATTGCAAACGTTCGGACACCAGTCGTTGTTTCCGCTGAGATAGGTAGTGCTGTCCGATGTTTCGTACTGTACAGCAATTGTTCGCCAATTTCGTCGATCATGAAACCCCAACCAAGAAGGCATGGTAAGCAGTTATCCGCCGTTATTAAAATGTTTTGGGCGATAACTCCGGACTTTGGTTTCATTTGGATTTTGATGTCGACACTGCCAAGTTTTTGAAACATTGAACTGTTAGCCGCTAACACTTTACTATTAAAAACCTTTATGCTTCCCGGCTTTCCAAGCCGCTCATACGTGTCAAAACTAACGAACGAAATGCTACTCCCGATTTCTCGTTCAATAGTAAGCCCACACTGAAACATTTCGATTTGTTATTGGAGCACACCCTGGTCACGTTGGTTCGTTCCGTCCTTTTATTCTTAGGGCATTTTCGCTTAACGTGGATAGGTTTTCCACCAGTAAAACAATTACTACAGTTCTTTGCCCAATGACCCCTTTGCCCACATAGTCAACATATGTCATTGTGGTTTTCCCTTCTCGGATTGCCATTTCTTTCTCGCGTTTTTGGTCCTGAGGTTGGAGTTCTTGCTCCATCTCTTGAAACTTGCTCCCTATATCGGTTTCCATTGCGTCGCATTCCTCCCCAGGGGTTGTTGTCTCGTCGACCATGGGTTTGTTTTTATTACCAACCGACATCTTTTGAACTAGTCTGTTCATCGAGTCCGTTAGCATTTCTGTCTGATCCCTCCGTATGGCTGTTATTCGGGGCGTTTGTTCTTTTTCCTCAATTCCAATTACGGCTTCCAGATGAAGTGCGCACTCTAAAGCATTCGCCTTGTACATTTCCTTGTCTCCAATTGTCTTGCGAAGCCGTAGGATTGAGTCTAACTTGGCTGTTGTGGATTCCTTCGGGAAGCACTAGCAGGTCCCTTATTTCCTGAGATTTGTCAAATGCTGTAAATCACCCAGTAATTCTGTTAACTTTCCACCTGCCTGCTGCGCGCGACGCTCTAGCCGACCGTGGAAGAACACAGGTTTTTCAATGTAATGAATTTGAAAAGCTTTAACGGTCTCATCATAGCTGAGAAGGTTAAGTAGCCTCTGGGAGGGTACGGTAAGTAGCCTCTTGAAGCCTTTGGAAGGGTAACGGTAAAAGGCGAAATAATGCAAAAAAAATTCTGTTTTTCGTGCAGTACGTTTCCAGTTTTTAGTTCGGCTAATAGCTCAAAATGTGTTGAGTAGCTTTCAATATCGTTAGGACCAGTGAATGCCTCCGGCAATATCGTTTTGGATACCGTTTTATCTGACACTATATAAAGTGAAATTTTCTCTCGCCTGTCAAGTCGTTTGCATGATTGTCAGAGTTAATTAATGCGTTGACAGTTCTCAAACATCAAAAATTAGCAATTACTTTTGCCAAAATAGTTCATGTTCTTTACAACTTACTAAAAGAAAACTTTCCCTACTTTTTGCAACCCTTTTTTTAAGTACTGCGATTAAAATCCAGATTTTATTTTAGCAAATTAAGTTAAAAAGTCGAATTTTACCGTATATGTTGTTTCCATGAAAACGAATATCAAGGCTTATACTTTCCATGAAGACGATTATCAAGGCTAATCAAAAAAGAGATCAGGCCGCCCCAAAAAAAAACAAACGGAAGTGAAGATGATCAAATTATACAATTTGGAAACTAATTGCAGGAAAAAATTACAATCCTTGAGCCATATTTTTCCAGTCTCAAGGTTTACTATGCAACGACGTTTTCAAAAACTTGAATTTCGTTACCGGAAAGCCTCGCAAAACTTTTGCGTCACAACAAAGAGAAAAACGAATATCTTATGCAAATCGTTATTTGAGTTTCGATTGGAGTCGGGTTATGTTTTTGGAGTCGCAAAATAGTTTCGATTGGAGTCGGAAAATGTTTGTGAAATTTAAAAAAAAAACAGAAAAATTCCGAGCTGTATTTTTTGAGAACGGTCAAGCGGACAGTATGAAACACGAATTTCGATTGATACCCGAATTCAGAGCCGTGGAAATGTGAGAGTATGGCGTTTTTCTTTTTCTGATTTCTGCTACTTTCTATACGACAATGAACGCCCAGCAGTATACAGAAGAAAATTCACCAATTTTCTGCTTCCTAGTGTGGACATGCTGAACCCACAAGAAGAACGTTTGTTTTTTTTTCAACAAGACAATGCCACATTTCATACGGCAAATGTGACGAAACTTTTTTGACGAGATAAAAAACTCCTCTTCTCGAATGGCCTCCATAGCCCTGATCTAAACCCTATTGAAATGGTGTGGGGACGAAAGAAGAAGAAAATGGCTT